ATGCTCGTAGATATGGTTAGTTTCTTTAAAAAATATCTCGCGATGTTTCCAAAAAACACCCACACTAGCAGCTTTAATCGTGTGTGTGAGATCGTCTATTCCGAGACCCGAAACGGGGATGAGGCAATGACAGTAAATCAGTCGGCTCGTAAAAAAGGAGAATAACCCACAGTGGTATGTGGCCTGAACGCGTTCCCATAGAAAAAAGTGCGCACACCCACATGCAACCGCAAAGAGGACACAACTTTCAGAATTCGCCTTATTGCGTACAAGGGATACGAGCGTAGTCCGCAGTTTAGCCCATCCTGGGTGTGACCAGAGCCTAGGCCACCGCGACGAAAACGATGATGTGTTGGTGTGATCCAATTTGAAATAGATGGAACACACGCGTCATTCGTATGTAAATGCAGATGGTTGGATTCAAACGCAGGCCGACGACTCTTTTAGTGACAGCCGACCACCGGTAAGGCGCAGAACTACGGAGACATCGTGTCTCCTATGGAATCGCCGACGAGATGGCGAACGTCCACAGCCTCTTGTATTTGAGTTTCGCAAACCTCGCCGAGCATTGTTATCATTATCGGGCATGAGATAGGCAAATATGGCCATGCTTTCCGCCTTCGTCATCGTCATCGGGCAATGTCCTTATCGTGAAAAACATCCACCTCATATTCTTGGATTTCAGTCTTTTGAGGTTCCGATTCAGAAAGACAGATTAAAAGAAATTTTGACAAGCAGCAGAAAAATTGATACTGGCTTTTTTTATCAAGTAAGTGCTCCAAACTCAAGTGAATCTAAGGATTGTTACTTACGTCATGATAGTAAAGTTGAGAACTCCACAACTTCTGTTATGGACTGAGCTTCTCAACATGACAAATTTTTAGAGCACCATAAAAATCTTCTTAATTTGTTAAACTCACCAATCCAACCGTCAGCACAGATACACTCGTAATCATCCAGACCTGTGGTTAACACGCATTTGCCATGGATTCCACAAGGCGATTCTCGTTGACATGCACTGTGCAACACCTGCTCGCAGTACTCTCCAGCAAACCCTGCAAAAGGATGAAAACTATGCTTTTGGCGGCTTCGTCATGAAATCCAGCAGCAGCTGCTTTCTCAGGACCCAGCGACATATGTTTTCCCATGTCATTCATATTATAATCGAGTTGTTCACGAACAACCTGAGCGCGCAGTGTAGAATAATATTAATGAAGACAAAAAGCAGAGTAGCAGAGGCTTCATACTGTGTGCAGCATAGCTGGGGAAGTTTACAAGGTCATTCAAAAAGGTGCCGGCAGATTTAGGACCAGCCATCTTGCGGTAAGTTCGTTTTCGAGGAGAGTGTTTGTCGGCAGGTTTTTTGAAGTCAGTTTCGTGAAGACGACACAATGTCGAATGAAGAACTCGCAAAACAACGCGGAACGTATGGAAAAAGTGGCGTTCTCCAGAATTTCGGTGATTAATGGCTCGAACCAAGAGCTACTATCGAACAGTGCTTGCACTGATGCTGCTCCTACTGTCTGGGTCAGAGTAGTCAATAGGAGGCCAAGCGCCACATGAATGCGCCATTCATTAGCCATTCGTTCACCCTTTCGCGCACAAGACACTGTATAAATCAACTCGCTACGGGAGACTACTGCAAAACGAATTCATCTACCCGTTTAGAATAGTT